AGTGCTGGGCGGCATTGGGGGAGCCGTGTCGAGTGTTTGGGTGACGCGGGTTTTGTTAGCTGCCGGTGATGTGGTACGTGCTTTGCAGTAGAAGTGTAACTGCACTGCGTTAAGATCAAAGCGAACGACGGGTAAGCGTTCTGCTGCAGACCCAGCGTTTGGCATTGGAGCTCGCCGGAGCAGCTCGGTGATGTCAGAACTAACACCATTTTCCCCGCTGCTTGTAATCCAGCTTGTATTTCCTTCAGCTTTTACTCTGTGAAGCCCTTTAGGCCTGAGGGAGTATACCATCAGCACTGTCCCTTTAGTTTGCTAGCAATTGAATGAAATCGTTCTTTCTGTGAACCACTGCTTCTCTTCTTAGGAAGCCATTCATTCTCTCCACCGAATAGCTGTTCTGAGGTTTATTTTTGTCTGTCGCTGGCTTGTCATTAGCCTGGCGCTTCATGCGTTATGTGTTCTGCTATGTTAAGACCTGTATCTCTCATCTGACTTGGTGAGGTGCATTTATCCTGTTTTGTAGATGGTAAACTGAGACAATAAAGGTCAAACACACTCAGATGTGAGTCTGCTGATGACTTGTGTGATCTGTATGTACCTAGTATTACAGATACTCTATAAAATTCCTCTTAGTCACACATCTACATCATTAGGTGTCTCAATCCATTTAGAAATCTTTCCATATTACCATTCACGGTCCTAGAGGAACATTATTTTTTGTAAAATCTGAAATGAAAAGCTGTTATGAGTCCTCTATCAGTGGTCCAACCTTCCATGCTTTTGTGGCTGTAACTGTTTATTTCCTTCCCCCAGGAAGCCCTTACCAGCCGGTAATTGAAGCATTAGGAAACTATCCAGAAAAGAAGTTCTACAATGTCTCAAAGCTTGGAGGCGCCAAGTATGGTAATGATACTTTTTTAGTTGTTTGTAATTGGGACGGTACCAGCAGTAAACGTGCACCACATTTTGCTGCTGTAAAAGAACATTTTACTCCTGTAAAATGTTAGGAGATGCCATCATGAAGACATGATTTCTTAATAGGTATGTTTGAAAGCTAATCCTTTTCCAATCTGTTACTGCTTTTTGAAGCTGGTAGGGGTAATACTTCTTGTAGCCTTTTTTCAGTAAGGGAGAAAGTGTAGGTGTTGCTGCAGTTTTCAGCAGAACTCCAAATCAGAATAATTTCCTCTTTTGGAAAGAACAAAGTGGTGGAGAACTCCAATGTAGTAGTTAAAAAATACAGTTTTTACTATAATTTTGTACTGCTTCTTGGTGTTCTAGTTTCACCTTGCCAGAAACTTCAGATGATGGGTGACTGTTTGTTTACTACCACATAGCTTCTACTGCAGTTGCTGCAGAAAGATGAGGTTTTGTCGTGATCAAACAATTGCTTAATCTCAGCATGTCGCTAGTATGTAATATAACACTGAGTGGTATGTGCCAAAGAGACTTTTATTGGGTCTCTGTGTCTGGGTGCCTTTGAAAAAATAAAAAGTATGTGCTCATGTGATGGTGGAGGGGAATACATGCAATGGAGAGAGCTATAGATCACTGTCAGCTGGAATAGGCTTTACTCTTGCAGATAATCAAAACATATCTCAGTTTGCTTTCATGTTAAACTAAAATACTTACCTGAGGTACACATTAAAGGTATTTGGGATTTTTGTTTTGTTTTGCTGTTTTGTAAGGTCTGAATTACTCTTCTCTATTCACAGAATTCATGAGGTATTTCTTAACTGAAAAATTACTGGTGGATGTTTCACTTTAAACCCGTATTTGACAGCATTAATTACTTCCCTGTTGTTTGAAGGGAAGAGAGGGACGAACTGGTGCACAACGGCTGCTGAAAATTTCATGCAATCGCTGTGTGCTCTTGCAACTTTCTGCTGCTTGTAGAGACGAAGTTGATCTTTCAGCTAAGCACATAAGAAGGAGGTAGAACGCTTCTGTTTGTGGCTGTGTCCAGGAAGAAGCGGTGATGTGGTAGTAACAAAACCAGTCAGCTCTACAGCAGTTTTTTGAAAAGCCGTGTGACATGAGTGGCTTGGAGCAGCAGTGGATATTCCTGAAGAATAGGAGGAGGAGTCTTAATAGACTAGACTAAGAGTGTCTTTGTCTTTCATTAGAAACTCCTGTGTGGAGGTTGGAAGCCTCAAATTAACTATGTATTAGCAAGATATGAAGTGAAATTCAGGCACAGTGTGGGACAGCACTGACAGCAAATGCAGCATCTGGAATTGCTCATTGTGTTTGTTGCTAGAACATTAATTTTGGGTTTTACCTGTTTGTCCTCTGCCTTGGGGTTTATGACTATAATCTGACAAGAAGTGTCAGTTTAGGTTAATCAGATTACTAACATGAATGTTAGTTGATTTATTTGGCAATTTACTAGGGCAAATCTGATTGTCTAGTGTTTCAAATAGTATTCAGTTATAGGGGAAAATGGTAGCTAGAAAGAGCTCGGAATGATTTAGGGTAGAGGGGGCATCTGGAGGTCTAGTCCAGCCTCTTGGTGGGACTAGAGCTAGCTTGGAGAGCCTTTCCCAATGGAGCTCCACAAATTGGTGAGGATGGAGACTCCACCATTTCTCTTGATCCTGTACTTAACCACCCTCCCAGTGAACTTCTTTTCCCTCATGTGCAGTCACTGTGTTTTGTCCTTTCACTGTGCACTTTTGAGAAGTCTGACCTCACCTGCTCTGCAGTTCCTCTGAGGTTGCAGACGACTACAGTTAGCTCCCGTAGCTGTCTCCTCCCAGGGTGAGCAAATGCAGGTCTCCCAACTAGTCCCATGTGTCAGGCGCAGCAGCCCCGTAACCACCTTAGAAGGCCCTTTGCTGGATGTGGTCTTGTTTGTTGAGATCTCCTGTGTCCTGGGAGGCCCAAAACTACTCGCAGTGTGGCAAATGTGAGCTTGCTAGTGTCTAACAGAAAGAAGTAGCCACTTCTCCGTAGCTGATGGTTGCACAGCAGCCCCCTAGACAGTTGAATTTGTTGCAGTAAGAGCGCACTGCCTATTATTTGTAATCCAAGAAAAAGCAAAACAGTTTTATTCTGGTGACTTGGCTTTTAAATAAGGTGAGTGGTGGCATTACAGACATGTTTTTAATGACATTCTTATATTGAGTGACTTGTCTAATTAGACAACAGTGGGTAATATCTGACAAAGACATACAGTGCTAACAGTCAGCAAATCCTCTATTAATAGCTTGTGCACAAATGTCTGGATTAGATTGAGACCACCAAATCTAACTTTCTTTTGTTAAAGCCTGAATTTAATTGTTTCACCTTCTTCTTCCCACTAACTTTTTTTATATTTCTCACTGTTGTCAAAGTCATTTGCCTGCTTGAATGGTGCTGAAAATAATGGGATTAGGGGAGAAATATGAATTAATCTTGGGGTTTTTTTTTGCTTGTTTGCAGTGAATCTGCTTCTTTTTTCTCCTCCCACTTTTTTGCGTTCTCATTTCCAGTTCCCTAAATTTTTTTGTGCCAGAAAGCTGCTTCTAGTCAATACCTTAATCTGGATCAGTAACGAACTAACTGAAGTTGTATTTAGTGAAATGTCATTCTTATTTATATTGGATAAAATGTGTTTTATTTTAGGGCACATGGCAGAATACTGTCTGGTCTTCATATAGCTGTTTATTTAAAAAAACATAAGTGTTCTGGCATTGGATGCTTTTGGCTTGATATCTCAAGTAATTAAATGTGAAATTTACAGTTAAAAAATATTTTTGAATATTCTAATTGTTGTTGCTTTTCACCCACTCTGAGCAGTAATCCCAGCTCTAGATTCCTTGCATCTCTCTCCTGCCAGCGTCGCTTACCTTCTTAAATGTCACTGTTGTAACACAACGTGGTCAAGCCATTCATATCATCAGTTCAAATCCCATATGATAAGTCTTTTTGTGCAATGTATATGCTGTGCAACTCACTGTTCCATATTGTGTAACAAAGATCAAACCCAAAGGCAACTAGAAAACCAGACTCCTGTAGCACTCATCCTTCCAGTCCCTAGCAAAGTGGGATTGTTTAGAAATGTGAGATTGTAATTTTTAGAAAAACTGTGTAAACTGAAGGTGTTGCACTTAAGTCAGTTGCTTTCCTTTACCCTAGATACTCTGCCTTATTCCATCCGAGCGTTGTTTGAATCCAGTATCCGTAACTGTGATGGCTTCTTAGTGAAAGAAACAGATGCTATGAACATCTTAGACTGGAAAACAAAGCAGAATAAAGTTGAAGTGCCCTTCTGTCCTGCCAGAGTTGTTCTTCAAGACTTTACGTAAGTGCGTATGTGTGCATGCACACCAAAAACTCTGAAATAATCTGTGTAAACTCTCCAAGTTGTATGTATGATTCTTTGGCTTGAAAATAGATAGCACCTAGCCTTTCGGTACTGGAGTATCTCTCTCTCTCAGTAGAAACCAGTGCATTGCTTCTGCTGTGCAGCAGATTCCTTGTGATACTTACGTGTGATGCCAGGATAGGAGCTGTTCCGTAGGGTGCCCTGGTTTTAGCGCAGGCTGGTGAGGCTGAAGCTTTTGGCCTGCAGGGAACACTGTACAGGATGAGAGCCAAAACACAAATGGAAGTGGTGACATTTTGGCTGTAGCCAGGTGGCTGCCAGTTCATTGAAATATGCAGAATTCTTGCATGAGATAACTAAAGATTAAATATTGCTTATTCCACAAGTATATGTAGTCCAAATAAATCCATGAGTAATACGTGTATTTAAAAAGAAGTCTCTTAGGATATTAACTTTCTTTGTGATTGGATAGCATAGCTAAAAGGGCAGTCCTTCAGCAACTTGCAAGTACTAAATTTAAGCTGTTTCGCTGACTCATTATCAATATATTTATCAAGAAGTGAGATAATTAAAAAAAGGAACTGTGGTATTAATAATAAAAATGAGGTAACTTCTATTTAGCAAGCAAATTCAGGAAGATTTGTATAGTACTGTGTTATATAAACATTGTCTTCCTCCGTTTTGTGCTTAACCTATGTAATCGCAACAAGGATATTTTTGTAGAACACCATGAGCTTCAGAAACAGTTGGCTCTGTAGGAAGAGTAATAATACATGCTAGGTATTAAAATGTATAGCATGAGCATTGTTTGCATAGCAAGGTTCTGTCATAAAGGTAGTAAGTATCTCAAAGTCAGTTTTGTAGCAAAACACCATCACACTTCAGAAGCACAGCAACACAGAAGAGACATGTAATTCTCTTTAAGACATTCCTGTGTTCTTGTTTGGTGTGCGACCTTCAAACATGCTGCTGCTTGGTGTGAATGAGTACCAACTGTGTTAACTTTTAAAAATGTTTCAAGTTCTTTAAGATTTAGAGAATAGAATAGTAGTGGTTTAGTGTCTGAAATAGAACTTAGGTAGATCTAGACTTAAATGAAGTTAAAATTAAAAAGAAGCTTTTATATTTTAGTGAGTTAATGTCTCATGTTGTTAGACTATTTTGTTTTTCCATCTGTTAGTGGAATTCCAGCAATGGTGGATTTTGCTGCCATGAGGGAAGCTGTGAGAAATGCTGGAGGAGATCCTCTGAAGGTCAATCCTGCCTGCCCGACTGATCTCACTGTTGACCATTCTCTGCAGATTGATTTCAGCAAATGGTAACGTACCTTGGTGTTTTGGTGAACCATACATCCGTGTCTGATACTGAACTACAGATTCACTCTGATCTTGGTACTATCCCATCAAATCATTTGTTGTCTGTGGATCCCTGAAAGTAGACCTGATGGTATCTGGAAGAGAGCTGGATAAAAATGGATAAAATAACACTCTTCAAGGAGAGAAAGAGTGGTTGTGAGGGGTTATGCATGAAGCTGACTGACAGCCCAAGTGCTGGCCAAGGGGTTGCTGAAATAGCTGGAGCTGTCATGGTTTCCAGAAAATGGTATGTCTTCAGAGAGTGAGGCAGAGAGAGTTTGCAGTTCTGCTTTGCTCTGGTTTTACTGTTAACATTAAAAAAACCTTTTTTTTAAAATGTGACTGCCTTGTCACAGCTCTGGAGAAATGGCTCACAATCCTGCTGGACATATTGAAAGGCTGTTATGTCAGCCCGTAGCCTACGATTGGTTCTCTTTAGTTTGTTTTCCAAAGTGGACCTGGATTTTACAACAGATTAAAAAAGGCTGCATGTGTCAGCAGAGAGAAGTGTACTTGTAGGAGTCTGGGTAAGTATTGGAACTGGAAAACTGACAGCCAGGTTTTCTGTCAGGCAGCAATGTGATGAAAACAGCCGGGGGCTGCCTTTTGCTAGACACTTAATGCTGCAGAAGAGGGAAAACTTGTGTTTTATTCAGTGTTTGCTGGAGTAAGCACTAAGTAGTTAGTGCAGCTCCCTTCCACCTTCCCCCCTGCCACTCTGCCAGGGAGCCGTTTAAACTCATGCAGAATTGTGTAAATTGCTCAAGTGCTTTGGGATTTTTCAAAGTTCATGTGCTCAGATGGACACGGGTGTGTGAGTCATTCCTGTAGACCTTCCAGACACAGACAGGATTTCAGTTTGGTTAGGATCAGAAGAGCAAAGAGCAAGAAGCTGCAGATCATTTGTTGTGTTGTGTATGTGTATGTTGTTCCAGTTTCGTGGTCTGTCCAGTCTTGTGCCTGGAGGGACAGCTGATTCGATTGCAATTAGGCTAGCCTAAAATTCTCAGAAACACCAACTGTTGGCAAGAGGTCTCAACGTGATGCTTTGTAATGATAAGTCTGGCTTCTGTAGTTTCACTTTGGGAAAGCTCACAGGATGTCGGCAGCTGCTGGCCTGTGATAAGAAACCCTTTGCTGCAGGATGGCTTGTGCTGCTTTTATGTGGCTTCCATCTCCTGCTGGTCAGAGGCTCCTGGGCTGGGTTGGGTTTAGACAAGGTATCCTCTGAGACCACGCGGTGTACGATTTGATAACTGAGTATCTTTCCGTGTTACTGAAGCAGGAGAAAGTAGTGGCTTTAGTTACTAAGCCAAGATTTGGTGAGTATTGCGAAGTAAAAAGTCATTCTTTTTCACAACAAGCTTTCTTTGCTCTTGTGCAAAGACTGGCTATTGTACAAATAGAGGCTAATGTGCTATATGGACTTTATTTTTTTAAAAACCCCAACCTTTCTTTCTTTTGACTGACTTAAATAGTTATAAAAGTTATCTGAGCCTGTGAGAATTTGTGTAAAAAACCTAATTAAATAATCACATTTCTTTCCTTGAGAAAGCTTTGTAATCATTCCTCTGTGGATTTAACAGAACATGTACAGCACGGTCTTAAAAAAAGAAACATTTTCAGCAAGCCCACCACTTGGATGAGGCTCTGCCCACACCTTCGAAGTTTAAAACCCTGAGTTTAGCCTTTGCAACACTGTTTCTGAAGGTTTCTGGTCTGTTGTGAACAAATTGAAGGAGGAGTTTATCTGGTGGTAAGCTTCCAGACCTTTCAGCGCTGTTCGCTTGTTACCATGCTACATTACTCTTAACTAAGCTTATCTGGTGGTAGTTTACTTTGCAACAGCGTTGTAGTAAAATAACTATTTTTCTCAGATACTATTTTATAATCTGTTGAAGGGACTGCAAAAAAAAAAAGGAAGAAAAGAAAGCAAAATTCTAATGTCTCCATTATTCTTCGATTTAATGTTCCAGTGCAATACAGAATGCTCCCAATCCTGGAGGTGGTGATTCACAGAAGCCAACAGCAAGGCTTTCTCCACTTAAAGCACAGCCTCGGAAGCTGCCTTGCAGGGGTCAGACGGGCTGCAAGGGGCCGTGTAGCGCCGGAGAGTCGAGTCGCAGCTCAGGACAATTCTCTGCACAGATTGAGAACACGCCTATCCTCTGTCCTTTCCATCTTCAGCCGGTGCCTGAGTATGAAAGCTTCCTTTTTTTAATTATTTGCACCCTGCTCTGTTGTTAAGCACTGCCTGTGACAGTTCATAGAGATGTTGTGGTCTTTTTTTCTTTCCCCCAAACGTTCTGCTGTGCTCTTCTTCACATGTGCCGTTGGTAGGTTTCAGCATCTAGAAGGAGGTCTGATGTAGCAGATTTGAATTGGTCTACAATAATTGATTTTTTTTTTTTTGGACAAGAAAGGCTTTACTAAACACAGTGCAGATGGCCAGCTGTGTGACTCATGGCTGTGACTTTCAAAATGAAATGTTGAGACTTTTTTCCTTTCTTTACAAGGACAACAAAGCATAGGAGTAATCTTCTGTAGGCTACAAAGTAAACCTCAATAAATAAATTGGTGAAGCACTGATTTATTTCTAAAAGTAAATAGTAGTTTTTCTGTGAGAACTTTTCAAAAATCTTTGGCTCTTAAAAAAGAACTAAAAACGAGCCTGTACGTAGCCCCAGCTTCCACAGAATCTCGCTGTCCCTCTGTCACTGAGATGAAATTCAATGTATATCTGCCTGTATGTAAGTGCTCAGGGGAACCTCATGTATCTGCCTTTTCCAGATTCTCGGCGTGATCAGCAGATCATTGTGTGCTGTTCCATCCATGACAGTTACATGCCATCATCCTCGTCTCTCAGCTGCCACCTCTTTTCTCTGGTAGACTGTTCAGATCCCGGTCTTCCCGTGCTGGGCAGGTGTAGAATTTAAAAGCTGCTTGAATCTGTGTTCCACAGTGATATGATGCTGATGGTCTTGGTAATTTTATAGATATACAGATACTCCTGCTCAGTACAGGTGTAGGAATGCACAGTTAGTGACGTTTTCAGCAATATTGCTGTTTCTGGTGGCAAACCAGCAGTGGTATTTACGAAGCTGCACTGTGACTGATGACTGTCCCTCGGGGCTTTGCAGAGCAGTGTGGTCACTAACCTTCTGACACTGCAGAGACGAGAGAGGGGGTCCTGATGTAAAACACACCTCTAGAAAGTTGGGGACTTCCTTCTGGTACAAAGCAAGTGTGTTCCCTTCTTCATGCACCTTTGCAAAGCAGAGGTTATTCCTCTTAAATTGTGGATTACTGCTTTATAATGAGTATCAATATCTTAATAAATAACACTTATTAAGAAAAAATGGTTCATTTTATGAGACTGTACTGATGAGTACTGGTGAAGAAAAAATTGTGGCTTGGAGGCAAAAAAAATAAAGTGGAGGGCACAATTGTCCTGATGCCCTACTGCGCTGCTAAAGGGCTAGTATGGAACACCGAGAGTGGTTTTTACGTGAACTAACAAACATCTTCATTCTTTACGGTACCTGAATTTTGAGGTGTGCAGCCTGTAAGGCTGCTGATTAAGGAAAAAAAGCTTCTGTGTATTGTAGTACATGCTGGGAATAGATCTCTTAAAACGAGTGTTCTTGAGATCAAGTGCTTTAGGCAAACTATACCTAGAATAAACATGTTCTCAAGCACAGCGCAGATGAAGTCAGTTATTTTTCACAGTTTACAGAAAGCTTGCTGCAAGGAAGGAGTTATCTTTGTTCTAATAAACCACTTCAAATTTTGCTGCAGGCTTACATGAGTCTTTCATCCAACAAGCAAAAATAACAACTTGTTCTTCGGTAATTTGAAATAAATTATGACAGTGCTTGTAAATTGATATATTCCTAGGCCTGAGACAGTACTGAAAAATCAAGAGTTGGAATTTGGCAGAAATAGAGAGAGGCTTCAATTTTTTAAGGTATGTCTGTGCCCATGGGCTTTGTACTGTGTTGTGTTTTGATTGTTTTCAAGAGCTTGCTCCGTTTGTCTACCAGTGTGTCAGGTTTAGATGATAAATTGAATGTAGTCATTTAGAAATGTCAGGCTCTCAAATCTTGAATTTAATATGGGAACAGAAAATGGGCTGCTAAAATGGTTTATGACTTTAAATCTAAAAATTGTTAGGCAGCAGAGGTTCTACATCTAGGTCCTGCTTAAAGGGGAGATAGTTTTTGTAATTCTACCTTGAAAAAATTTGTACGGTTTGATTTGGGTCTTGTCATTGTGAGGGCAGCGGACAAAGTAGATTTTTACAATACGTTACTCTTTTTAATGCTTCTTAATGAGCTCAGTCCCTTCAGCCACAGTGAGTTTTTGGATAGAAGGTTTGTTTATCCATACTTCAGTTATGCATCTTGCTGAAGCTGGAAGCATTGAACAGAAGCCGATGTTGAGACGTTGCTGCTCTGAAACCAGGCAGCAGTGCTGGTGGGCTTGTGTTTACCTGAAGTCCTGCGTGGCGAGCACCCGCTGCTCGGTTGCTAGCTGGGGATCTGCGACGTTGGTGTTTGATCTTCATCTGCTGATTTAACATGGTTTAGGAATCCAGTGCAATGATGTAAAAACTTTCATAGAGGTAGACCAGGAGGTTTCTTTCTGAAAGTTGCAAATTAACTTTTACATTATTCAAGAGGGAAACTGCCAAGCTGAATCTTGTTACAGTTTCCCTGTCAGCTTTTTTTAAAATCTAGCATCCTCAGTTTGCATGTAGCAAGGCACTTCTCTAAATTGTATCTTCAGTCTCATCCAGGAGTGTAAAACCTGGGCTAAATTCTGCTGTAAATACAAGCGCTTAGGTTCTGTTGTCTGAATGCTAGTCTTAGCTGTGCTTGAAATTAGTTGTGTGAGCTGGAAGGCAAGAGATTTACCCAGCCCTGCTCTGGAGGAGGAGGTGTGAATTGCTGGTCAGCCTTCAGCAAGAATGGAATAAAGGGTTTTGTTCATGAGCAAGAGCGTGTAGAATCCAAGGGGATCACGTAGCTCTCTTTGAAAAATCAGCAAAAGCTGCTTGCGTAAATAGCAAGTACTGTTCTATTGCGTAGTAGTTTTGTCAGTTTAGTTACAGTTTAAGAATTGAATATACTTTGGAAAATGCAGCTCTTTGTGTGTTTTTTCTTTCATTTTGGAAAAATCGCAGTGGAGTTCAAAGGTTTTCAAGAATGTTTCCATAATTCCACCTGAGACTGGGATGGCGCACCAAGTTAACTTGGAATATTTGTCGAGAGTTGTGTTTGAAGTTAAAGATTTCCTATATCCAGATAGCGTGGTTGGCACAGATTCACATACGACCATGGTAAATGGCTTGGGTATCTTGGGCTGGGGTAAGTATGCAAAGAATAACTCGATAGCACTTTGAAAGGCAGACTGAAGCATTGCTGAGAAATACTTTCTTCCCACTGCATATTTCTATCTGAAGCATTACAAACTCTGTCTTGAATTATTCTTTAGAATATTTTTTGTTTATAAGTAATCTCAACTAACATTGCTTTCCATCGAGAAACTGCTTTTTGTAATTTAAAGTGAAAATAGCCAAGAGCCACTTGATGGTCAAATCAGTGTTGTTTGTACCTGTAGTAGAAAATTAGTATGAAGGTTTCTCTCCTCTTGGAAAGTTAATTTTAGATATAAACTACTTTCCGGTTGACTGTGAAGTCTGTCTTCAGCAGTAGTCCTGCTTGATTTTATTTTTCAGGTACAAATATTTAACAGAGAACTACATTTCTTGCTGTAGCCTTAAGGCTTGATGGGAAGGGTTTTATTGGATTTTAGGACCTTAGAATATTTAGCGTCGGTTACTTCAACTGATGAAAAGTCACCAAATGTTCTCCTCCCAGGTGTTGGGGGGATTGAAACAGAAGCCGTGATGCTGGGGATGCCAGTTACTCTCACTTTGCCTGAGGTGGTTGGGTGCGAGCTGACGGGCACAGCCGGCCCCCTTGCTACACCCATAGATATTGTTCTAAGCATTACGAAGGTAAGTCAATTGTCAGACGAAGCCAAGTTTGTTACAAGTTCTGCCAGTGGTGTTTGAGGACTGAATTAAATGCTGGGAATATTTTTTGTATACGTTTAATCATGGCAGTGCAGAAAGTTACAAATAATCTCTAACTATTTTTATTTAATAGGCCGTCAAGTAGTGAATTTTTTTCTTTTCACTGTATAGTGATTTATTTACAGGCCCTATTTCACTAACAAATAATTAAAAAAAATATGCGTGCAGGGTTGAGGGCAGGGGAGAGAAGCCCTGTTTTCAGTTTTTCTCCTGCTGACAGCAGGTAGGCTTCTTCTCCTCCAGCTCAGAGACTTTTGCTGGATACCCTTGTTCTGAAGTACTGCAAGCTGCGAGGCCCATCTGTGGCTGTAAGCTGGTGTGACTGGGGAATGTAGACCCCCTGAAGATGGGGTTTTGCCAGGGTGGCGCAGACTGTTGCTGTTGCAGTAGGTGAAGAGCTGGCATCAAAGCGGTGAAGAGCTGTGGTTGCTCTGAAAATGCATTCTTCTTTCTGGCATGTGCTTGAAGAAGCGTGTATCTGCTCTCGGCTAGGACGTCTGAAGAACTCGGTTGCAGGTGGAGGTGTGTTTGATTACATCAGCTTCCAGCGTAGATTTTTAGAACTCGGTATGTTAGTGGGGCTTGGGTTGGTTTGTTGGGGTTTTTTTGGCAAATGTAGGCCTTAAGGTTTCAGCTTTTTGTTTTAAATGTTCGTGACTTGCTAATTGCGAATTGTTGCAACAAAGAAAGCTTGCATTGTGCTGCTTCCTGTAACAAATGGTGGTGGTGTTGTGTGTTCTTTTAAACAGCATCTTAGACAAGCTGATGTCGCTGGCAAATTTGTGGAGTTTTTTGGGAGTGGAGTTTCCCAGCTGTCTGTAGCAGACCGAACCACAATAGCAAACATGTGTCCAGAATACGGTGCTATTCTGAGCTTTTTCCCTGTTGATAATGTGACGTTGAAGCACTTAAAGCATACAGGTAAAGATGAAATTTAAGAAGTGGTTCATTCTAATACTGCTTTAGGTATGTGACAATACGTTTTTTTCCTAAAACTCCGTAGTTCATGAACAGTGATTTTCTGCAGAGTTCTGAGGTGGACTTAATGTATGAAATTCTGCTGTGCAGTAACAGGCGGTGTCATGGGATACACTTGGCCACAACTCTTATCCCGTAGAAACTCATGCAGCTGAGTAATAGCTATGGCACGAGTTGTACCACACGCATTTACTGCTGGCTAGTTTTGTGGGGTGCTTAGTGCGTGGCCTTTGAGTCCGTGTTACTCGCCTGCTTTATCGGCGTGGCTGTTTCCTCGTGGCCTGTGTTGTCTCCGTGTGTCCCACATGTTCAGGTGATGCTGTAGTTCTTGTGCACACGCCACTGGCATGTGGACAGCTGACGTGCCCTTGAGGCTTGTGTGCAGTCTGGTTCAGTTGTCTAATACCTGACTGCTAGCATCATCTTATTTTTGAGCATCCAGCATCCTTGTTTATGAAAACATATGTAAACCTTTAAAATACAAGTATTAAGAAAATTCTCATGTTTTGAAAAGCGTATGGAATACAAGTCTTCTCAACATGACAGCAATCCCTTAACCACCTGTAGATTCCCTACAAAATCAAAACCTAAAGCAATTACCAGCAATAAGCAAAACTACAAAACAAATCACAACACATTTCTGATTTTTTTTCACAATTATGTATTTTTTTCCTTGGAAGAGCATTATTTCACTGACACTTCCAGCTAAGCTAGAAGAATGTCCGTTCCTTATCAAGGTACTGCAAACAGAGAAAGTCACAGGGTAACAGATACATAAAAAAAAAAAGCTCATTCACATTAGTAAGCCTTTCCGACACTGAAATCTGTCACTTAAACACAAGTTACACATTTTAAATTTAATAACAAACATGCTTTGTCTGGTCAGTGCAACAGTAGCCAATAATACCAGCTATTACCAACTAACCACATGGGCTGTATTAAACAATTAAATCTTAATAGAGAAAAGCTTTATGACCATTGGGGGCAAATCTGTAAATTTAATTAGAGTTACAACTGCTGGAGTTAGAACAGCTTATTTTTTCCTTGATATAAGAAGGAAAGTTAAGCTAATTAAAAAAAAAAAAAAAAAAAATATTTTAATATGTGTATCATTCCTGAACAGCTCCTGAAGGTTGGGATATGGAAGTGGTGTGGCTTTAAAAAAAAAAAAAAATACTTTGTATGCTCAGTGACAGATCTGTTACGCTTGAAACAGTCTTAATTTCTGAGAATCGTGTGTTTTATTTATTTCTTTAATGTGCCTTTTCTCATGTTCGAAATGACCTTCCTAAGGTTTTGACAAGGCCAAGCTTGAGGTGATGGAGGCGTATCTTAAGGATATGGAAGTGGTGTGGCTTTAAAAAAAAAAAAAAATACTTTGTATGCTCAGTGACAGATCTGTTACGCTTGAAACAGTCTTAATTTCTGAGAATCGTGTGTTTTATTTATTTCTTTAATGTGCCTTTTCTCATGTTCGAAATGACCTTCCTAAGGTTTTGACAAGGCCAAGCTTGAGGTGATGGAGGCGTATCTTAAAGCTGTGAAGTTATTTAGAAATGGTGAGAGTTCTTCCAGAGAACCTGAGTATTCCCAGGTATGCTTGAAATGACTCGTTTCTGTGTCTTGGATTCTCAGAATAAAGAACTACTGCTGACTTGACAATGTTGTCTGCCACTGTAATTTTCATTGCTTTAATAAAAGTTGCATTTATTAACTCACAGTTTTGAGAAGCAGAGTATGCTTGCAAAATATGGAGGGGGTGGGGGAGAGAAGCGAAGGGCAATCACATTTGTGTCAGCTAACGGGTACTGGATTCCTATCCCTCCTGAGTGATCGGGTAAGTCCTGCACAGGGCAGGAAAGGTAGGGGTAATGTTAAAACACTTGAAATAAGGCGAATAGCCTTTAAAACAGACAGTCTTGAAAATGGAAGGCCAGGGTTTTAATGTCTGAGAACATTTAAATTTTAAGCAAAAGAGAGGTCCTGGTTGTCTCGGGTATATTCAGTGTGATGTTGGGCTGGGATTTATAATGCATGCTCCTCCAATGGTTTTTGTTTGTTTTTTTTCAGGTAGTGCAAATTAGTCTGAGTTCTATAATTCCATATGTGAGTGGCCCCAAGAGATCCCAGGATAGAGTGGCTATTACTAACATGAAAAGTGACTTCCAGACCTGCTTAAATGAAAAGGTTTGTACAACTGATGAGCTTTTGGAAAGGTACTGCCTGTAATTTGTGTGGATAGTTGTTATGTTACTTACTCCTTGCGTACCTGCCGAGCCCTCCTGGTTACTATGTAAACAGCCAACGATACTCTCTTCTTGCTTGCCAAGTGTCCCGAGGATAGTTGCTGGTAAATCATAGCTGTGTTTGTCAGGAACATCAGCGTCCAAAAATCCTTAATTTCACAGTTTTGCTAGGGAGGAAAAAGTTAAGTGGTAAGCTTGGGAAACGTTTTCTCTTTTTCAGAGCTTTTTAAACAGCTGTATTTGACTTCATTTCCAAAACAGAATTACCATAAGAAAAGAGTACTGGTCATACTTAAAGGAGATGCAGAAAGACTTCCAAAATTTGTAGCTAATCAGTTAGGTGATTAACTTAGCAAGTGATTTTTGCTTGCAGCTTAACTTGACTTCACAGAGGACAAGATTTTACTCTGAAGGTGATATTTTTGGTTGGGAATACGCATAGGTATCTAAGACAGCAGCTGACACAGGAATGCATCTTCATTGTTGGTGTTTAGCATTGCAGTTGAAGACTGGCAGCAGTATTTAAATAAATATTTACACTTAGAAGAATGCCTGCTGTTGGTTGAAGCGTTTCTGGCTTGTGATGAGGTGTGTGATACAGAGTGATCAGCTGTGCTGGAGAGCGAGATCATTCCTGGTCACGGATCACAGGGGGGCTGAGCTTGAAAGGGAGCTCTGCGGGATGACTGGGTGCTGAAGAGCTGAGGGTGTGAAATGTGATCTCGTTTGCTTTTAGCTGTTACCCTCTTCTGAGTAAAATCTTGGGTATGCTTTTAGTGCAGAGACGAGTATTGAAGAGAATTAGACGTGTACTTGTAAGGGATTGCTCTTTCAAGTGTAGCAGGAGGCAAGCGTGGGGTCTGCCCTGCTCTGGCTGGCCATTGTTCACAACTGTTGCCGAGTTCAAGGAGCCATGAAGGAAGAAGGGAGAGACCACTGCAGGTACAGAGAGGGGCATGAACCGAGGCCTGCTTTTAGCATCTGTGCGAGGGCTCCTAATGGAGTGTTATTTTCAAAGGAGGGTTCACCTGGTCTTGCTGTAATGTCGTACTGTCTGTACTTTGGTAACTGTAATAACCGCTAACATGTATCTTTGTCGTCTAGTCTGGTGTTAAAGGGTTTCAGATCGCTCTTGAGAAGCAGAATGACATTGTACCTGTTCAGTATGAAGGAAACGAATACAAGCTATCTCATGGCTGCATTGTCATTGCTGCGGTAATCAGCTGTACAAATAACTGTAACCCATCCGTCATGCTTGCTGCAGGTATGTTGTGACAAGTGACAGCTGACTCAACCTTAATGGTGCTCCCATGTTTACACAGCCTTGACCTTCACTTTTGTAGGTTCTCTGTAATGGCTTGACCAAAAGGTTTGAAACTGTGAACTTCTAGCCTGAACTCGTTGTATGTTCTGGAGGTTCTATAATGAAAGTTGCTTTTTGATAATACAATCTCAAAATTTGTGTCATAAAGCAGGATTAATGATAGTAATGACAAAATACTTGGTAGTATTTCAACAGGTAACCAGCTTTAGGGCTCTTTTCAGATGGACGTGCGTATTGACGCAGTTGGTGCAGGAGGCGAGCGTTGGCTTTGGCTCCATCCTGGCTGGTGGTAGCCTGGACTAGAGTTAGCTGCAGGCTCTGGAGAGAAAGTCCCTATTGCTGAGCAATTCTGTGCTGTAGCCACGAGTTGGGCAGTGTGTGCTGTGCCGTGCCGTCACAGGCTGCATGCCATTTTCCCAGAACACTCAGTTCTCTCTTAGACCTTGCTTGCTTTGTTTGAGGCCCTCTGTGGCCAAGGCAAGCTTGCCTTTGGGGCTGGGTGGCCTGTATCAGGAGAAGAATAAATGGGTTTGCAACATAAGCTTTTTTTTCTCTTTTTTCTTTTTTTTTATCAGGACTCCTGGCCAAAAAAGCAGTTGAAGCTGGCCTGGTGGTTAAACCCTACATAAGAACCAGTTTATCTCCGGGCAGCGGAATGGTTACACATTACCTCAGTTCCAGTGGAGTATTGCCATACCTCAGTAAGCTCGGGTAAGTTGTGGCACCTGCTTTGTTTGTTGTTTTAGGAAAGCAGTACGTGTGGGTTTTATACAGGTGGATAAATAAGGTTGCTGTTCATTTTGGGGTGGCTAGTTCTTAACTCACTAGAGTGTTGTTTTAACTACTTGCTGACTTAAAGTTGTGGTTGTCTCCGTGTTGTTCCCACCTTACAGTTTGCTCTGTGTAGATCTCTACCTCATCTGAGCTCTGGTTTTTTGGTAACGATCTGCTTAATTGTAAGAGTCTCGCAAGGCAGGACGCACTTGTTTGTGCATTTTAAAAGTGGAAGCTGGATGTGCATTTGTCAGGACAAGTCTGTATTAGTCTTTTCGTGACATTGCTGCTGTTGCGGGCTGTCTAGCATGTTTTTGGTCGCTCTGTAGTGGTAACAGTTAGATAATGCTCAGAATTCTGTAGCAGTGCCCAGCTGTGCTCTGTGAGGAGTGTCACTGCCTTTGTTTTGCCATTGCTTACAGAACTAATAACATCTTGAGATACTTCATTTGACTTAATCGATTACAAAAATGTTACCTTGTATCTTCCTGCTTGCCTCTGTGAGATGAAGTGTCTGCTGTTCACTTCCTAAAACAAACAAAAAAATCTTCTCAGTGATTGCTCATGAAAGAAAAACCTGTTGTGCTAACGAACTGCCTGCAATCGTTTCATGTGCTACTGGAATTGTTTTTCCCAATGTAGGTTTGAGGTTGTTGGTTATGGGTGTTCGACCTGCGTTGGAAACACTGCCCCCCTGCCAGAAGCCATCAGGAACGCAATAAAACAGGTCAGCTCTGGGGCTGCTTGAATACAGAAATACAGTTTTCGCCGAGTTAAGCAATCAAGAAATGCAGTAATCTGTGCAAAATATACTTTATTGTTGATTTGGAGTTTGCATGATATTTGTGCACATTTGCATCTCAGAGGGAGACTGTGGTGATTCACTGCTATGTAAAATAAACTTCATAGTATTTGTAGCATACAGATATAAATGACAAGATAAATGCATAGGACCTAATCTGATGGAACATGCCACGTGTAGATTTTGTATCATAAATGAAGAGGAGGGTTTTGAAGAGCTGTCTGCTTGAGTGATTTTAAACAGCTGCAGCATTTTGCTCCTGCAAAGCAGAAGGAAAACACAAGGAAGAAGAGGCAGGAGAGGAGTTCACTGAGGTGACTGAAGAACACATCAGAGGGTCAAGAGTGAAAAGGAGGAGAAGGAGGAAGGGTAGTGGGAGAGAGCAAAATGTGTTTAAATTGAAGTGTGAGAATAAATATTTGAAGTGGAATGCTAAAAGCACATCTGACTTAGTCAACAAAAAATAGCACAAGCTGTTGATGTACAACAAAGTCCTAGAAAAAAAAATATATACGGGTCTGCCTTTCAGGGTGAGATAATTGCCTGTGGAGTGTTGTCTGGGACAAAGAACTTTGAAGGACGTCTCTGCGACTGTGTCCGTGCCAACTACCTTGCTTCTCCACCGCTAGTAGTTGCTTATGCCATCGCAGGCACTGTTAAAATAGACTTTGAAACCGAGCCTTTGGGTAAGTATTTCCTTACCTCTTCCACTTCCGTATCTAATGCGTGTGCAGGTTTCTTCACGTGCATTTCAGCATACCAAACCAGCGTATTTGGAGAGAAAGCACACTCACGTTTGGTGTTGCTCATAGCTAAAGGAAAGCATCCACTTAACTGATGAAATTGTTTGCGTATCTGGTACCGTCTCTGAAGACCTGAATATATACGTGTTTATATTCTAATACGAATATAAAGTCTAGTATTTTGTTCTTCACAATTACTATTCTGTTTAAAATCTTACTCAGGCACTGGCTTGAATGGCAAAAGTATTTATTTACGAGATATTTGGCCCACCCGAAGCGAACTTCACACAGTGGAGGAAGAGTGCGTGATATCATCCATGTTTAAGGAATTGAAAGAAAAAATGGAGGTGAGAATCGGCTTCTGTTCTGCATAACTTAAAGATTGCATTTCACTGCAGCTTTTACTGTCTTCAGTCGAGTGTGATTGATTTGTCAGTTATTTCTGTTACTGCGGAGGAGGGCGTAACTGAGACGGATACTTGTATTAAATAGTGATTCTCAAGTGACATCCAGTGAGGTAACTTGTAGTGTGTAACAGAAATTAAGAAGAAAATCACCAGTAAGTCTTTGGATTCACAATGTAACAAGATCATAAACCAATTTCTCTGTTCTTTTTGGTTAATGTTCTTTTTTGTAGAAAGGAAACAAGCGATGGAATTTGCTGGAAGCACCTGAGTCGACTTTATTTCCCTGGGATTTAAAATCGACTTATATCAGATGTCCTTCCTTTTTTGATAAACTTGTAAGTACGTTGGCTCTATCCACCAGATTATTTGCATTACACTGAAGCAAAAGGAGTAGCTATTCCAGTGAAGCTTCAGTGTTTGAGTAACGAATTTGTTGATCACCAGTACAGTATTTCTCAGTCTTTTAAATGCTGTTTGTATCTCTGTGGAGCCTGTACGTCAGTGTGCCTTCATGTATTGCAGCTATTTTTCATGTCTGTAAGGATCTTGGAAGAACTACCGATCACATATCCCCTGCTGGGAGCATTGCAAGGAGCAGTGCTGCTGCCAAGTACCTGACCAGCAAGGGGTAAGGACTCCTCTCGTCGAACAGCCCTGGCTGTGTCAGAGGGCCGCTTCCCGGGCCAGGGGGCTGGTCAGCACTGTTGCTTTCCTTGGTAAATGCCTATCTGCATCGAGGGAGATGGGACCTGGATGAGCCAAACATGTGGTGTTTATAAGTTATCGGCTATCTTCCAGTGCCAGTAAGCACCTTGGTGCAGTCTCTGTCCAAGGTTACAACAAGCAGCTGAGGCATACTCTTAAAGGACTCGTTCTTGTGGCTGGCCTTAACAGTAACAGCTGCTGCCAATGCATGCCAGCAATAATTCACTAATTTACAAATCAAGTGACTGATCTTCTGCTAACATAAAGGTAGTTGCTGTTGCTGTCACTGGCCTCAAGAGCAGTCACATGCGCAGAGCAGATCAGAAGTTCTAGGAACATACATAGTTTAAAAAAATGAAGCCCAGTTTCATAAATGAATGAGATTGGTGATCTGACTTCCCTCTGCATCAGTGAGCGTCCTGCAGCAGCAGTGGGTGTCTTTCAGCTCTGCTGAGATTCTGAGAAGAGGCAGGGTACCATGGGGTGCTGAGCTGTTCAGGGTCGCATCTCTGTGGAGTGCTGTGGGAGTTACGCTGCTGCGGTGCATTGCGGTGCGTTACCAGTGCCGTCTCTGTGAAGCATAGCAGAACAACAGCCTGTGCTGCGGGCTGCTCTTGCCAACTGTTGCACTCGGTCTGAACGAGTAGCATTACGAGAAAGAAAATTAATGGGCCTGTAATCGCAGGGTGGTCGTTTGGTTTGTGAGTATGGCTCTGGTTTTGGTACAACACTTGGTAATAAATGTGCTGGCAGAGGCAAGAGGATTAGTGAAGAGGATTGTTTCCTAGAACAGTTTCCCCATCATTCCTCTGTAAGCACCATGCTGCTCGTAGTGCTTTGTAACGAAGTCATAGAAAACAAATTTAAAGTTGCAGCTTTCCTCATGAGTAATGTAGCAGTGATTTACACATTTTGTATCTTCTTAAACCAGATAATCTTTAAAATAACTGATTCCCTTTGAAATATTCTTTTTATTCTAGACTCACACCTCGTGAATTCAACTCTTATGGAGCTCGAAGAGGTAACGATGCTGTGATGACAAGAGGTACCTTTGCAAACATCAAGCTTCTGAATAAGTTCATAGGAAAACCAGCTCCTAAAACAATTCACTTCCCATCAGGACAAACGGTAAAAATCTGTCTGTTTGCATAGCTACTCTGGAACTGTGATGCGGAGTAAGAGCTCGCTCAAGCTGTTTCGCTTTGTGATTCCACAGCTAGATGTGTTTGAAGCGGCGGAGTTGTACCAGAAGGAAGGCATCCCTGTCATCATTCTAGCAGGAAAGAATTACGGACTGGGTAGCTCAAGAGACTGGGCTGCAAAAGGGCCTTTTTTACTGGTACTGCTGGTTTGTTTGGGGTTGGGGGGAGGGGGGGGTGTTTTTTCTGGAAATACTTAAAATGACATTGTTTAGTTCTGGGTATGAATGTGTTTAGAAACCGTCCTTGGCTCTTTAATATAATACCACGTTTTTTTTTAAAGACTTCTCAATAATTTCTTTGCTAGAATCTTCATAGAAGAGAGTCGCTAGTCAGGATAAATACGAATTTCCTAATTATGTGAGTTACCATCTTAGACTCCAGACTTTGAGATAAATTAGACATTTGTCTAGTGCTGACCTCTGTTCGATCTCTGTGGGGTATTAAGTATCTCGCTGCTGGAGACTAATTTCTGCTAATTTTCAGAATATATTATGTAATAGTATATTATTATATTATATCTTATAGTATTATGTTGAAACACAATATCACTTGTATTTTTGCAGGGTGTTAAAGCTGTCCTGGCCGAAAGCTATGAGAAGGTTCATAGAAGTCAGTTGATTGGAATTGGCATAGCTCCACTTCAGTTTCTTCCTGGGGAAAATCCCAGTACTTTGGGTCTCACTGGCAGAGAGCAGTTTTCTGTATTGTTCCCTCCAGAGCTGTCACCCGGCATGACTTTGGATATTAAGGTATCTTTGCAATATTTTTTTAATTTCTCTGTTGAATGTGCTGACGATTGAAGGCACGGAAAGAAGAGTTATTCCTGATGGTTGCAAGCAGGAAAAAACAAAGCTGAATTATCTTTGAAAGTAAGCTTATAGTCTGGCCTGAAGTTTGTCACAGCTATTGAAGTTCCCCCAAGTACATCTACACGTGTTTTTCTATGCAACCTGAAACTCTTGGTGGTTCTTTTGGGCATTGTTTCCCGCCCATGGGCACAGTGTTAGGGTAGAACTGAGTCTGTCTCTCATTCAGGCTCTTTTCAAGACACAGGCGCGATTGTTTGAGAGAGGCTGCAGCTTTCTGTGCTGTGTTGAGGAGCCGTACGCCCGGAGCAGCGTGCTTCAGGCTGTCTCAGGGACATGGCTTGCGTTTTGCTGTCAGTAGGTGCGTAGCGTGCTCCCAGCTGGACTTAGACTGCGCAGCAACACAAGCCTTCGTTCTGGGCCCAGCGGCCGCTCGGTTCCGTGGGGGCAGATAAGCGGGATGAATTTGCTTGTGTTAAGCAAAGCTTGGGGTGAGAATGTTAACTGAGAATAAGCAAGGGCAAGTGAAAGCAGAACTCTGAACTGTCTCTCGTTTTTGTTGCTTTTCTTTTGAAGACGAGCACTGGAAGAGTATTCAGCGTGACTGCCTTGTTTGAAAACGAGATGGAGCTAACTTTATACAAATACGGTGGAAGTCTAAACTTTGTGGCTCGAAGATTCTTATAGTAGCTACTGACTCTGTGGGTACCTTTCGTAACTGGTAATTCTGAAAATGCCTTGTGTGAACCCAGGAATCTGTACTGTGGAACTGCAAACAGTCCTAGTGTGCTCAAAGTTACTTCGTCCATGGATGTAAAAGATTGTGAATCATTGTAACTGCAACGAGATCCTTCCTGATTTTAAATAATATTCTAATGGTGCTATTAAACATTGCTAAAATCAACATGTGTATTGTGGCAGAGAGCTGTAAGTACGGAGGGGATGTTTTATCAGACCATTTTGTAAATAAACTATGCGAAATCTGAAACTGACTGTGCTGAGGATTATTATGTAAGGAGACTTTCGGCAGTTGTTTCCACTCAGGTTTTGGCACCTGTAAATCTGTGTACTGCTGTTCATTGGTTTGAGGGTAGCAGGTGGTACGGCACGTTAAAGGCCAAACAGAATTTTTTGGTTTTGGTTTTCATCTGGAGCTTAGAACAGGTACTCAGTCTGGCGTTTCTTGCTCCTTAGGTTGTGGGCTGAACCACAAGCAGTCCACAAGGCCCTGCATCACAGATCAGGACTTTATTACATTTATTATGGGATCATATTTCATCTGGATCCAGATCTAAAACTGCTCAGGCTATGCAATACTGTGTGCTTAGAAGTGTAAGTTTTTCATGGGAAACATCTCTGTGTTTAAAAAACTGCTCACAGCTATGTTGTTCACGCAGGTTGCAGGGAGCAGCCCAGCTTTTTGGCAAGCTGCAGCATCCTTCGATTGGAGTTTGTCATGCCTGCTTCAAGGGATGCTGTTTGTCAGTCATGACATCAGTTTTGACTGTACTGTCTGCGATATCCTTAGACAAAGTGCCTCCCCTTAGTATTTTAACCTTTAAAAGTCTGTAGAAACATTTATTCGGGCTGTTTAAATTCCTCTGCTTTACATATGACCCCTGTCTAACAAGCTCTGCTTCCTTGTCAAACGTTAAAGAGCCGAGGCAGTCGTCCTGCCTTGCGATGCTCTCTGATGCGCCGCGGGTTCGCATCTCTCCAAACAAGCACCTGACTCGCCCGCAGAAGATCCCAGAACACTGAGCGAATCTGGCTCTTTCGCCATTGCAGCTTCTGTAAATTCAGTTGTCGGCACGTTGACGGTAAAAACCCTGTTCCGTATCTAATATTACCAGAAGATGCAGAGTTCTACTGCTTAACAAAGCACTGATGGCTTCCAGTCTGCGCAGGTGAGCCGTCAGCTCCAAGATGCTCTTTCTGTGCTCCTGTACCTGGAAAAGCTTCATCGTACCGCTTGTGGCTTACCAAGAGATTCATTTCTTTTGGAGAACAAAACTGCACTGACTTGCCTATGAATTGTCAGGACTTTGCTTGAAGGTTGTTTGCTCTTGGTAAACATGGTCTCGAATATTCAAACTTTGAAGAGGACTATATTAGCTTTATTACACATTCTTTCAATTCATAGCCAGGCACTAAGCTAGCGGACTTGCAAGCCAATAGAGGCACCCTTCAAAGCTTTAAATGGTATGTTTCTGACATTCGTTAAAAAAAACCAAACCAACCCTGGCATAATTAATATCTTTACAATATGTTAATTTTGATAACTTTGATACACCTTTTTTATTTTATTGGACAAAGTTCCCTAAAGTTAGAAATTCTGTACAATCTGCTTTTATATTTTAATAGTTTTGCTGTGGTTTTCTTTTAGTCAGGTTAAAAACCATTCTGGTGACTCCTACCACTGATCCGGGTGGTAAATCAATGCGTTTTTGAACACCATGTTCAGCTGAGCAGATTTCTGTTCTGTGGTACGCTTCTGCTAATTTTACCCAGTTATTGAGCAGATCTTAATTTCTTGTACAACAGTGTCTAATACTACTTTTTTTCCCCAGCTCAAAGGTATATTCTTGATTGAGTTCAAGAGAATTCTTGTTCTTTATTGGGGAGCAAACAGGCATTTCATGCTGGCACATAGTGCTGCCTCGTGTGGGTGATGAATCAAAACACAACAATAAAAACAGGACGCGTGTGGCTGCGAAGGCTGATGGGCACCCAGCCTCCCCCCTCCCTAGGGCAGGGAACGTTCGTTGCTTCCAGAGGAGACGGTGACCCCAGCCGCACCAAGGTAAAGCCGTAGGTTAGGTGGAACTTCGAGGGATATGAGTTACCCGCAAGCCGTTACCGTAACGCTCGTCATCTCTCTTAAGAGACAGGTTGGGTTTCATTGCCGTAGCAGCTACCTTCGTCCTGCCGTACCCGTGTCTTGCAGTCCGTGGAGGACGGCCTTCGAGCCGTGCTGTGGGCCTGCCCCGGCCACGTCTTGGAGTTGTGCAGACCGACTGCTGCCCTCACGGTGTGCGCGCCCGAGGCGCAGCGGATGCTGCAAGGAGCAGCAGGTCTGTGCACGTGTCCCCTGGCGCTGGTGTGGCAGAGCAAGCTGCCAGTGGAGGTGACGCTGCCTGGCCATCTGCCCGTCCCCTCTCCCTAAAGTCCTGTCCAGGAGCCCAGCGGCAAGGGTGAGGCATTGGGCTCTGGGCACGCTGCTAGGATCCCGACAGCGTCAGGCGGGCGGCAGTGATGTCCGCTCTCTGGCAGTGGCGGGGTCCGGCATAGTCGGAGGATCGCTGTGGTCGCATGCGAACAAACGTCGTTCGATTAGGCCTCTTCCTGCTGTCGGAAAGCGTCGGAGGCAGCGTACCCTTTTGAAGAAGTGACTCGGTGCGTTAGATGTGTTTAACCTAGAGCTCTCTCTCCAGCTTGATTCGGGGGGGAGAATCTGTTCCAATTTTTCTGAATGTTCCTCTCCTTGCGACCCTCTTCCTCCCCCTCCCAAACTAGAGAGCTTTGGGACAGTGCTGATGTTTATACGTTTTACACCAAAGTGTAAGGACACACAACTATGTGTGTTAGTCACGTTAGAGCAACTGCGAATCAATGTCTGCGGTTTAAAGCCAATAGAACAGTGCAAGCTTTCAGTTCAGTAAAGTACCGTACAGATATATCCGAAGTTCAGTTGAAGACAACTGTGCATAAAATGTTACCAATGCTGTAAATTGTTTTTAATAAAGATAGCATCACAGTTCCTGTATGTTACCATCTATTTTGAATAGATAATAGGGAATACACTTGAAATGGTGCTGTAAGTGTGTGTGAGAGGGCAGGGTGAATAAGGACAAGGGTGTCGTTATGCGTGTTCTGCTTTCTCGTTAGGAGTGTCTCGCGTGTGTGCTTCCAAAGCACGTCTGGTCGGTGAAGAAAGGGGTTTTTGGTGTTAGCTGAGCTCCAGATACTAGTCTGGATATTATAGCTATATCAAATGCTTTTTGAATAACTTTTTTTTTGTCTTCAGGAAAATGTCTGCTTCAGAATCTAGATCAAACCCTGCACTAAAGCAAGCTGCTGGCGCAGGTTACGGTTGTGGTACAGAGGGCTCACAGATATGAGGAGATCTTCAGAGGCGACCAGGGGTGTCCCATATTGACCCGCTTTCGGAGGAGGTGCTGGTCTGGCATCCAGCACAGGGATGCGAAATTATTCAAGCCCTGTCTTCCTTACAGCCAGTGGCAGAAGAGGCCCAGGTCCCACCTCAGTCCTGTGGGCTGCTTCCCACTGGAACGCCGGGCAGGCAGGAGAGGTGCGGTGGGCTATGGCATTGCTGTCGGGGAAACTGAGGCGAGCTTGGCAAGGTACAGACCTGCGACACCCGCTGTAGTTGTGCTTACAGAGAGGAGGGGTCTGCTCTGGTTCTTCTGCAGCCTGCTCTCTGTCTTAAAATCACAGGCAGTGAGAACGCTCTCCTGCTGTACCAGTCCTGTTCCAGTGAGCTAAACCTTCCGTCAGCCTCGGAAATCAAGAGAGGGGACACTGAGTATTTTCTGAAGCTCTTTTATTCTTGAAAAAACTTGTGTGATTGCTTGTGGGCTGGAAGCGGGGAGAGGGAAGTAGGTAAAAATAGTTATTAGTTGGTCAATCACTTTGTTTTGTAAC